AAGTTGCGTATGGACGTATTTTCCTAAGGTTTTTGACAATATAACTAGCAATGATATTGGGCGATAGTTAGAAACCAAAGTAGTGTCACCACTTTTATGGATAGGCAATACTCTCGCAGTCTTCCAAAGTTTGGGTATGTACCCAGACATCTTAGGGTTGTGACAGGTTTAACAATTGCCGGCGCACTGAGCTTCAACAGCATTGCTGGGATTTGATCAGGGCCAGACTGGTTTTTCATTTTTAGATTAATATGGTGTTTCTTAATGACACTAATAGGTACAGGTCTAAAATTTAACTATATTGGGTCTTTGCGAATTTAGTGGGGCCTGATCTACATTTATAGTTTCAGGATGTGTGTCATTTATTAGCTTGGAAATCAGGATAGTGGAGCATCCGACAAAATAATTGTTAAAGGCATTTGCTACATCTAGGGGAAGTTGCAGGGTTTGGTCATCCACCTTATTGTGGGTTCCAACTAAAGTACATCAATTTTACTTTTAATATCAGAGATCATTGCGCAAGGGACCTAGATGAGCCAAATTTATTTGCCAAATTTAAATTATACAACTCTTTTTCCAACTATTTCAGATTTTTGGATCTAATTTTCTTCAAGTTGGAAGCTCTTTGAATAAAGTGTCCCCATAAAACAGCCTCATGAGTGTTCCATAATGAAGTGTCTGATAAATTTGGAGTCGAATTATCTCTAGAATAATCAGTAAGAACGTTCTCAGATAGTAATTTGTTTTCTACATATGTGACCAAATTGTCACTAGGTCTCCATGTTATATTCTTACTTGACTGGACCAACTCTTTTAAATGCAACACTATGGGGGCATGGTCTGACCAATTTAAGTCCAGAATATTTAAGGGCAAAACATAAGGTATGGTTTGCTCACCCACCAAGAACCTGTCAATTCTGGAATACATATTGTAAGTGATCAAGTAGCAGTTGTACTCCCTCTCTCCTTCATGTTGGATATGCCAGCAATCATATAGTCCCTGGGGAAAAAAAGAAATTTAGAGCATACATTAGCCAATTGTTCACTTATATAATTCTTAACAACACTATCATGTTGTCTAACTATATCTAACTAACTATATACTCCCCACCAAATATCAATCTGCCCCAGACATTCCCACGATTAACCAGTTTTCAAAGGAATTATTACTGTCCAAAGTTAGGAAAATATGTGTTTATGAAAGTGTACTCAATACTATTGAGTGAACCTCTCCAAATCAGATATCTGCCTTCCGTATCTGCCACCACCTCATTGGTGCTGCAAGCCACACTCTTATGGATAAAAAAAGGAGACACCTCTAGATTATGTACAAAAGGTAGAGTAGAACTAGATAGGGTAATCTTTTAGCAAAGTATAAGGGGCATTGTGTGTTTTAAAATCGGTTTCCTGTATAAATAAGACAACAGGTTTATGGAGTTTTTTTTCCCTGAAGAAAAAAAACCTTGTCTTGTGTGACGTGTTCAGGCCCCTGACATTAAAAGAAAAGAGTTTCGATACCATCTGTTTTTCAAAAAAAGAAATAAATTGAATAAAAAGGAAAAAACTAAAGTATGTGAGGGGAAGGAATACAACAAACAAAATTAAGGAAAAAACAAGAGCATCCAGGGAAGATAATCTCAGTGACTCCCACCCAACCGGTTCACCATTGGTATCAATCAGCAAAACTGTAATAGGAAAAATAATTACAAATCTAAACTACAGACATGCATATTGGATGATAAAAATCAAAGATTTCTGACAACCAGGATAAATAAAATGTAAAATGAAAAAAACTTGGAGAAAAATCCCTTTAAGGGAGATAAATAATAAAAAAAAATTAAAAAAGTATACATACACCAAAAAAGGCCTTGAGAGGAGGGGTAAACAGTTTCCTCTCCTTCTAAAATATACAGAGCCATGTTGGGGGGGTGAGAGAGAACAGGTACACTAGGATCCCCCACAAAAATAATAAAACCTGAGAATAATGAATGAGATATAATATATACATATAGGAAAAAAAAGAAAAAAAAGAAATTGTGAAAATGAAAAATAAAAAGTTAAACAGTTAAAAAAAATCTATAAGAATATGTTGAAGAAACAAAGAAAACAAAGTCTATTAGAATAAAAAATAATACCATAAAACAAAACATATATGATAAACTCAAATCAAGATTTTCCGATGTGCTTCCTCTTTGAGGATAAGTTTCTATAGCACCAGAGGGATTTTGTAAATTAAGGAGAAAATAGATGAGCCCAAAAATTCTTCATCTTGGGTATCTTCCCATTTAGCCATTTTGAAACTATTTTTGCAAATGTGTTTTTCAAATATTCTACACCATATATATTGTGAATCACGAATGTATGTGTGTGCACATATAATAATATATAATAATGTCATATAATAATAATGTCTAGACTGCAAAGGGTGCTTGATATTATTAGTATTGCATTTTAATACTTCTCCCTAAAAATCCCATGATGTTCTACTATTTTTTTTCAATGCTTGTCACATTTAGTATAACCTACATTTTCAAACTGTATCAATTTTCCATCACATTCTCTCATGTTCGAAAGCAAGAACAAATTATTTTTTCCCAGCTTTTAAATTTAATTCCAACATTAACAGATCTTGACTTAACAACATCAGATTCTTTTTTTAATACCTCTGGATTTTGGACATACAGTTTCACTGTCTTGATAATGCTCCAAACCTAATCAGAGCAGATGTTCATATTTGTTTCCGGCATTATTCAAACTGCTTACCTTCTTATTTTGAATGTTATTGTTTGTTTTTTTGCTGGATAATTAACAGTAATTAGAATTTAAAAAATATTTATAGAGTTTATTGTAGTATTCTCATTGCCATTTATATAATGGTCTTCATTACAATATTGTAAACCATCCTTTTTCAACTACAATGTAGTGTCCAGTAAACATTAAAGGATCTGTCTAACCACCAAAAAAACCTCTAGCTTCATAAAGTTGGTTTGTTGTATAGATCATGTCCCTGCAGTTTCACTGCCCAAGTTTCTGCCCTTTATGAGTTCAATGACTCTAGTTCTGCACCCCTAAACTATTCCAGGCTGTCACACAATGTCTCTACTCACTATACAAGGAGTGTTAAGTTTGGAACTAACTCAAAGCTTGTTTCCAATGTTGTCACAACTTTTTAAAATACTAACATCCAGTATATTATATTTCATATATATTTTATACATATATATATATATATATATATATATATATTAACATGTTATATACATCAGTAAAACATTATTGCCACCTATTAATTTACTGTAATTTTTAAAATAAGTATTTACCTTTTACAATCTATTTTTTAAATGTCCTTGTGGCATTACGCACTGCCCACTTGCCCATCATCACTTTCTTGGCGAGGCAGCTTCCCATGGAGAAGCATTGTGGACCATACACTCACTTGCAGTTCACCATTTAAATAATACTCATAGGAAATCATTGTATTCGATAATTCTGTATGAGAAATTGTGAACTCTCCACTGCACATGCATGCAGCATGCTTGCTCACGAGTACTAGGTTTTCCCAAGTATGCCTTGTGAAGAAAAGAATGCCTCGAAACCCCTCAAAACATCCAAAAAAAGTAAATAAATAAAAATTCCAACTGTATTTTCAATATAAGCTTTGTTAGAAATATTTATGTATCCTACACTATAAATTACACCACATAAAAAAAATCAATTATTTGGTTTTCATATTTAAGTCAATTGAAATTATTTACCTCATTCTAACTGACTTAGATATGGCAACCAAATGATTGATGTTTTATGTGGTATAATTATAATACTTACATTTTTCTAAAAGTTAAGAATTTAATTTGCAGTTTGTAGATAATTTTATGGCAAGACAGGAGGTGAATATTTGCTTATCTTTCGTTACTGTAACTCCCAGCAGCAAATAAACAGTTAACAATCAGTGTAAAAAAGTTTAACCAATCAGCATGCATCACATTAATATAAACTGCCATCAGGCTCCTCCCAATTCCTCTTTCTTTGCTTCTTGCCTACCAGGTGAGTCTATTCTAATTATACCCTTATTAATGCTCATTTAACTGACTATTATCTTTTTAATATCTTGCTCTTTTAGTTGTCAATAATCATTTAATTTATTATTATTTATTTGATATTTATTAAAAATGTGAAGTGTTTTCCATTTTAGTACACTTAGAGGGCTGACATACCAGTCAGCCCACAACTTTATATTACTTCCTAAATATAACAGCCTTCTTAGATTGTGCTCTGTCAGTTTAATCAGATCACTGACAGTTTCTCCTTTTTTTCACATTTTGACGGTCCGTTCAGCCGCTCTGTTACTGTGCTCGCTTGCCTTCCCCTTAGTGTCTCCATGGTGACGCGTCCCGCCCTTTCCTCTGTGCCGCGGCCATCTCTCTTGCTTTTTTCCCGGGCTTTTTGCTCGGGCGCCATCTTGTGGACGGTCTCTGTGAGGCGGTTTCGTTTGCTTTCAGTTCTTGATCTGTGGTTGCGATCCAGCTGTTAGGTAAGTAAATGTTTTTCTTCTTAAAGCCCCAGACCGTTATATATTTATTTCAAGGTATACAAACCCAAAACTCAAAATATCCATTTTCTGTTATAGATTCCCAAAACACAAAAACAAAGTGCCTTAAACCCTTGCATTACTTTGAGGATGACCCCTCTAGCCTATATTCTGAGGGTGACCCCCTCTAGCCGCTATTTAAGGGTGACCCCCTTTTGCCTCTATACAGGGTAACCCCCTATATGATTACACAGGTACATACCTTTTATTAATGTTGGACGTTATATTGTCCTATTTTTCTCTGGGTGAACCCCACTGATATACTGTGGATGAACCCCACTTGTCTAACAGGTTAATTATTTATGTATTTTACAATTCCTGTTTAAAGTCCACTGCAACTTTGTAAATAGTTGTCTGCATATTTAAAAAAAAATATATATATTTTAGTGGTGACCCCACTGTGTTTGACATTATGTCGGATTTACCAGATCTAGCAGTCTCTGCTGAACTTAAGGCATGGCTATACAATGCACTTGCCGACTCTATACCCAAAGCTTTAGCGGCTTTCAGCGAGCAGACAGTTCCAGCCCCTATGGTGACTATTACCCAGCTGTCAGACTCCGAGGAGTCTCATGGTTCAGACCGGGATGAAGTTCCTCTCAAGCGCCCTTGGAAAGGCGATAGCGCTACCGCCGGTAAAGGCAAAGCGCCTGCCAAACACCGTAGAGTTTCCCTTTCTAAACCCAGGGAGGTTGTCTCCCAACATGATTTTGACCCACTTGAGGGTTCAACCTCTAATTATAATCTTCAGGTGGTAGATGAATTCTATGCACAGGCTACAGGCCTCGACCCACAGACCCCTGGAACTCGGGCAATACCCGATTCCACCACAGGCAGTTTTTCCCCTCTCGCGGAGCTATCCGAGAACATGGATCTGCTTCCCTACGCGGTCGCACTGCTACAGGTAATGGACCTTACTTATTCTCATATTCCTATTGCAGGCCGGTTAACCCTTTTCCCCCAAAAGTGGTCTTAACTCACTCGGGATCCTTGTATCCTTCAGACTGTGTCCGGGTTCCACCTGGACTTTTCAGACGTACTGATACAAAAATCTCCTCCTATCCCGATCAAGATGTCATTGTTAGATGAGTCGACTCTACGGAGCGAACTCAACAATCTATCCGTCAAAGGTGTGATCGAAAGAGTTGTTGGCCCACGGGTCTTCATAAGCAACATGTTTCTAGTCAAGAAAAAAATCAGGAGACCTACGACCTGTTATCGATCTGAACAGGTTCATCACATACCGTCACTTCAAAAAGGAGGGAATCCATTTATTGAGAGACCTACTCTGCGAGGGAGATTGGTTCTCCCGATTCGATCTAAAGGATGCATATCTCACGGTGCCGGTAACACCAGCCCACCGCTGCCTCCTTCAGTTTCGTTGGGAACAGGAACTATGGCAATTCACCTGCCTCCCCTTCGGCCTATCTTCCGCACCTTGGTGCTTTACCTTGGTGCTTTACCAAACTAATGAAACCAGTAATGGCATTACTGCGTTGCCAGGGAATCCAGTCCATCGTTTATCTGGACAATATTCTCCTCATGGCGCAGGACCAAGAGACTCTTCACCTTCAGACAGCCATGACCTCCGCTTTGTTGCAGAACCTTGGCTTCGTGATCAATCACCAGAAGTCATCTCTCACTCCGTCTCAGATGGTACAATTCCTGGGATTCCAGATAGATTCTGTTCAGGCAGTCCTACAACTTCCGGAAACCAAAATCAAATCCATAAAAAAGGACATTCTGAGGTTGCTGATATCACCATACCTCTGCCTGCGAGATCTAGCTTGCATCATCGGCTTGCTGTCCGCTTCAATACAGGCAATATTCCCTGCCCCATTGCACTACCGAGCATTGCAACGCCTGAAGACGCAATATTTACATCAGTCAACATCCTATGATCAACAGATCACACTCACAGACGAAGTCTGGCTAGAACTCCATTGGTGGCTACACCATATAGATGCTTGGAATTGGAGAGCCATCTTCGGATCCCATCCCTATTTCATCCTGGAATCGGATGCAAGCCTGTTCAGATGGTGCGCAACTTGCTCGGAAAGCTCTACAGGAGGGCTCTGGTCCCATTCAGAATGAGCACTTCATATCAATTGCCTCAAACTAATTGTGGGCTCCTTCGCAATCCGAAGTTTCGCCAAGGATGTCTACAATTGTTCTGTGGTGCTGAAGATGGACAATGTCTCAGTGGTTCACTATGTGAATCATCTAGGAGGTTCCAATTGAAAGATGCTGTCGGACGTGACCAAGGAATTGTATCAGTTCTGCCTAGACAGGAATATCTCCCTGCGAGCAGAATATCTACCGGGATCAGACAACCTCGTCGCAGACTGGTTTTCCTGACATTGGAGAGATTCCAGCGATTGGCAACTGGATCCACAAATATTTCACCATCTCCAGGTCTGGCGGGGACCATTCAACCTGGACCTGTTTGCGTCTCACCTTAACCATCAGAAGGATGTTTTTTTCAGCTGGTTGCCAGACCCAGCGTGCCTTGCAGTCGATGCATTCTTACAGACATGGCCGATGTCCGGAGCATATGCGTTCCCTCCATTCTCCATGATCCCATGCACACTACAGTACCTCAAAACTCAAGGTGTCAAGATAACTCTGGTAACCCCCCCCTATGGCGGGCCAAACCATGGTACCCTTACCTCCTGGAAATGTCAGTGGATTTTCTCCTGCTTCTACTCACCTCCTGCGACCTCTTCAGGGACCCGGCAGGCAACTTTCACCCGTTGGCAATCCAGGATCATCACCGACTAGTGGCTTGGACCGTTTCAGAGAATCTTGGAATGTCTCAGGCCTTTTGGCTATTGCTCAGGGACTCCTTTGGGATTCATGGGCCCCAGGAACCAGACGCTCTTACATCTTCGCATGGCGTCATTGGAGTTGCAGGTGTTTGGAAAGGAACTTTGATCCCTTTTCAACATCTATAATTAATATTATCAATTTCCTGTCATCTCTGTTCGTAAATCCTACCGGACTATTAACGTGTTTCGATCTGCTATTTCTGCAGCGTACGTTCCTATTGAAAGTTCTTCAGTAGGCAAACACCCTTCTGTGTGTAGACTCTTGCAGGGCATCCGCATCGCTAGACCTCGGGCTCCCAAATATAATCAATTCTGGGACGTGGCTCTCATGCTCACGTTCTTAGAAGCTTGGCCAGACAATGAGGCGCTCTCCCTAAGCCAATTGTCAGCCAAATTAGCTCTCCTCCTTTGCTTGGTCTCCTTCTGAAGAGTCTCAGACATCAGGGCTTTCGACTTTCATGCCCTAGATTTCACACCGGAAGGGGTGCACTTTCACATCACTAGACGCACCAAGACCAATTCATCTACAGTGAGCTACCCCTTCTTTATCGAGAAACCACTTCTCTGTGTAGCCCGTTGTGTAAGACACTATATCTCTCGCACTACCCCTCTTAGACCACCTACTGGGCCCCTCCTTGTGTCTTATGTTCAACCACACAAACCAGTCTTGAGTCCTACTATTGCTCGGTGGATTAAATGGCTACTAGCTCTGGCTGGCATTGATGCGTCTTTCGGGGCTCACTCAGTTAGAGGCGCGGCCGCCTCCTCTGTGTTCATTGCTGGAGGTTCCCTGCCGGAGATTTTGTCCTCCGCCAATTGGTCTAGAGAATCCACTTTCCGTATCTTTTATTTTAGACATTCTCCACACGTTTCTTTGTCCATGCTATCTACACGTTAAAATAGCAAATATGAAGCCTCCTGTCTTGCCATAAAATTCAGGATCATTATAACTTTTAGTGACCGAATAATCTAAATTTTGTATTAAAGACAGGAGGTGAATATTTTCCCACCCTGGAATACCTTTACCCACCCTATTAGGTAAGTATCTCTTAGTACCTCCATGTCTAACTAGGTGTCACATCCTGTTCCTAGCTGCGGATCATTCTGGCAATGGCTTCTGGTTTCCAGTACTCTTTTTACAATTCTTGTTTAGTTTTTCTTAGTTGTTTGGTTTTCTATTTTATGTCTGGTTTTCTTTATGCTGGGTTTTTCTAGGTTCATTCCTGTAATCCATCCCTGGAATTCCCAGTCTCCAGGGTTCCTTTAAATGTTTGTTTTATGCTGCCACACCAGTTTGTTTTCCATCATTCCTTTTGTTTCAGTGTTCCTGCAGGCAGCTGCTCAAGTATTCTGCCCTTTCTTGCAGGTAAGTACTATGTGTTTTCTTTGGTTTAGCATACATTAGGCAGTGTAGGACCTGCCAGATATGGGGTACATTGGCGTTGTTGGCAGGCTATGCAATGTATGATCATATAATGTGACTAAATCCCCATACTTTTCATATATAGGACTTAGTTATTCTCCTCTTCTTTTGCCTATCATATCTTGTCTTGTTTAAGTTTGTATTCCCAGTCCATGTACAGTCCTGTCCTGTCTTGCCCATGTTATGTCATTGTTTCCCTTATGTATTGTGTACATGTTCTGGGTTTAGCTTCCTATCCTTCTCTGGTTCTGGGTTCTATTAGTTCTGTCTTGTTTTCATATTTGGTGCCTATCTCTAGTCTTGCCTTGTTTCTGTACTGGAAACATTCTTGCTGCAGAGCCTCCCTATTCAGCTCCTGGGAGGTCTGTTTATTTCCTAGCTCCTAGTTCCTGGGATCCGCATATGCGGAATCAGGGTTCTGGTATGTGGCTGCACAAACGCTGGTGCTCAACACCAGGGGGCGTGCAGTTACCCTGCACCAGACCCTGCTAATCCATCTCCACACTGCGACTCCTACTCTAAACATCAGGCATACTGGGTCCTGGGTCTTTTCTGGCCTATACTCGTCAGTTAATTATTATGTTAAAATTTGCATTCAAATTGAACGTTAGTTTCATTGCATTTTTTATTTGGTTCTCACTTGCCCAAGACACCATACAGTTAATTATTATATATTAAAGCTTGCACTTAAATTGGGCAATAGTTTCATGGCATTTAATTTGTTTTTCTCTTGTCCAAGAGACCATACTTTCACAATGTTTCTCTTTCCTCCTAATGTGAAGATCACCCGTCATCTCTGTTTCAAGTCTTCCCTGCAGGTTGAGCACTGTTTCATCCTATTGGATACTTACACTGTTACCTACTCATCGTTCTAATGGTTCTACGTTTACATGGTTGACTCTACGACTGTTCGGCTACATCAAGAAAGAGGAATTGGGAGGAGCCTGATGACAGTTTATATTACTGTGATACATGGTGATTGGTTAAACTTTTTTACACTGATTGTTAACTGTTTATTTGCTGCTGGGAGTTACAGTAACGAAAGATAAGCAAATATTCGCCTCCTGTCTTTAATAAAATTTATATTATTCAGTCACTAAAAGTTAGAATACTACACCTAATCCTAAAAATAATTTTGCTCATAATACCATCTTTAATACTACACATAATCATAGTATTTAAACTACTATATTCTTTACACACCTGTAATTAATAATGACAGAATAAATCGAAATGTTAATTTTAGCACAACGTTTCTTTTGTTTAGAAACCAAGTCTCACCTATTGTGTGTTTGAGTGCATTGATTAGTTATTTTTGTACTGTTCATACACATATATTTCTACATTATCTCTAAATAATGACTTTACTTAAGATTAAATTTGATGACAGCAACTTCCATTTTTGTCACATTAATTTAATTTAATAGACATAAACAAAAATTCATAAATTTTTAAAAAAAATTTTTTTAAGGCCAGTCAATATGATTATTTTTTTTTTAAATGATCACCTTTTTTAATTTCAATTTAGACAGTTACAATTTAAGCTAAAATATATGTTATTTAATGGCTTGTTTTATATATATATATATATATATATATATATATATATATATATATAAATAAATATATATATATATATAGATAGATAGATAGATATTTATTTTTTTTTTAATTTTATTTATTTTGATTATATAGTATAGTTACAAATGGCCAGTTTTGAAGACT